GCAGTGGGGATGTTAGGTGCAAGAATAATAAAAAGCCCCCCCCCCCCCCCCCCCTTTATTCTGAATGTCTTTTTTTACATTTTGAGAGCACTTTCAAAAACTAAAGATAATTTATATCAGTAAAATAGTTTCAAATAAAGGCGATGGCTGTGAACCTGAGAGCTTAGCGTGATACGAACACACGTATTTGTGGTATTCCCACTGGCTAGTACTTTCCTTGTTTAAGTCTTTCAATGTGGTAGCACAACTTTAGGGCAGGCCCCAGCTTCAGTCCCATATATTTCATGATCATATCACTCCTCAGTAAGAGTAGTGCCTTCCCATCAATTTCCTGCAGAAGGAAGAGAATAAACACAACAACATACAACTACTTTAACGAGCTGCATGGTAAAACTGAAAAGTACATTATATTTGTTTACGCTGTAGTAAAATTTTATCTACTATATATAAAACAGTAACTTAGTATAATTTCATATTTACAGATGGCCACTGAAATTGAATTTATTTTAGTATTATTTAACATACAATTAAAGTATTTGAGATGCTAAAGAAAATTATAGTAAATAAAAGAAACTGACGAACAGCCCTCAAAATTAGGTACTGGCTGGGAAAAAAAGTGAATGGGTCAAGGGAAAAAAAAGAGAAGCTGCAAAGGAAGGTCTGTGCAGTTAAAGATTAAATGATCCAAGCACAGAGGCCTTGCACTGAACCTTGAACACAGCTGCGGGAGGATTCTGGCATGCGCATGCAAACAGTCACATGGAGGAAGGGGTTACAGACCATCTAAATCTGTGAAATAAGACAGATCTATGTCCAGGTTAAAGCAGACAGATTGTTAGGATCAAGACCAAGGACAACTTAGTCAGATTTCAACTGCCTGGTTGAGAAGCTGCTGAAATGTGACAGTCCTAAGCTCTTAGTAGCATTACATACTGTAGACAGGCAGTTAGTTCCTTAAAACACCATAAAGAAAACCACTCTGTCTCATTTTTTTTAAACATAAACCTGACAAAACAAGTGACATTTAGTCTTGTTATACAACTAAGAATAAAACATAAGACAGGAAGCTCTGTTAGAAGTTATTTTAAGTTCTCCTTGCAATCCAGCTTACTCTGAGATTTAACTGTTAGTAGGAGCTGGTGGAGAACAAGGGTGAAATACTACTAACGAGAAAGCCAGTCTCTTTTTGGAGGGCCATATACACAATGAAATAAGAAAGCAGCTCTTTGCTGAGCAATGTGCCATAGAAAATCACAGTGAGAAGGAAGAGGGGAGACCAAAAACAGCACAGAAACTGACACAGCTTATCTATCTAAATACAACATCTAGTTAGATATTATGAAACCTTACACGTTGTTTTTCAAAACAGATGAATTCAACATTTCAATTGATTCTTTCAATTTTAGTATTAATGACCAGGTGTAAAGCTAATGAGGCATAACAGCATCTCTACTTCAGGATAATCAGTCTCCAAAACAAACCTAGAGAGGTGTTGTCTTTGCAGGCTAAATGCCCCATACTGTACATGAGAATGCCATCTTCTCTAGAGGTACCAGGGATGATGGGGGTACCATGGAAGTTGGCCATTAGAACTTGGATACTTCCAGTACTGGCCTTGTTCCATATAAGCTGGAAAGCAGTGGGTATTTACTTTAGTCTAACAAGACTGGAACACAGATAAAATATACTGCAGGAGGAGTTTCAGGTAGAAAAATAATTTTCACCCTCCCTCTAATATATGAGTAGAGCCTGTTCTACCTTCAACTGCAAATAGAGCGATAGACAGGAAAGCTATATTTTAAGAGATTAACACAACACACAATCTACTAGAACAGAATGGATATGCATCATACATGTCTCCTAAAGAGTTCTGCATGTGGAGCTAGTGCCTGTGGATCAGCTTCTTTCACAAAATGCATTACTTCCTCTATTGACCAGGTGGAAGGATCCTTATTCAATATTCTTGAAGGTTCCCTTTTTAGTGAATTCAGATCTGGTCCAGTTGTGGAACTTGCAGCTTTTAGTATAAAAATATTGTGAAAGGAAGAAGTATCACTAGTCTATACAGGGATAACACATTCTATTTTACTTAAGACATTCTTAATATTCAGATGCGGCTTTTATTATGCATTCTTTGCAATATATTAAAATAAAAGATGTTTTATTTTCCTCCAAATAATATTGAACTGTTACATTTGTCTTTAAATGCATTATATAACTGCAAATATTTATAGCAGCATAAACATTAGCACTATGACATACCTAGAGGGATTAGTTTGACTTGTACTTGGCTCCTGGGTCCCAAGATGCCATAAATTGGGAATGTGGCAAAGCCAAGTTAAGGTGTGCAGACAGAGGGAGGGACAGGAGAAGACCCTATTCCCATATTTCAGCAACAAGGCAATAGTTGATAAGATGCTCAGAAATTGAGCTGCATATAACCAGCCCTCCTCAGTCTGGCCTGCCACAGGGTCCATAACCTGAGTGAGGAAGTGAGAGGAAGGTGCAGCAGGCAAGACCCCTCCTGGCTTGCACCGCAGTATTAGTTCAGTTCTAACAGGCTTAAGTTCTGCATTTGCAGTTACATTAGCAAGGCTGACATGCTTGGCAACAGCACATTTCACTCCATATGCAAGCGTTCCTATGGCAAAGGAGTCCTTTGTTCATAACTCTCAGACTTTGTACACTAATAAAAGCAGTTATATACTTTGGAAAGTTTAGTTATATAGCATACCTTCAATCTGCCTCTGTATTCGATTCCTACTAACTTCGTAGTAACTGCTGCTCCCAGCAGAGCTCAAGGACAGCCTGCGCAGGACTGGGGCTGAATTTGAGGTAGCAGTCACTGGCTGAAGGGAATTTCTGTAATATGCTGCACTCCCTGAAGTACGATATTCTGTGGAATTTCGATGGGTCGGACTTGAAGGATTTACAGAACTAAGTGCAGAATCCATAGAGTCCTCAGAAAATCGGTGTTCTTTGGAAATGCTGTTTTCCTCTATAGGTAATGTTTCTGCTACACAAAAAGCAAGTATCAATATGTTCAAAGTGATGGACATCATACCTTTGTTTTTTAACACCTTGCTATGTTCTCTTGAAGACACTGACAGATTGTAAACCTACTACCAACTCTCCTGTGAGGCAATCACTGCTGCTGAATGTTTGCCCCTTTTCCTCAAATAATCACTGGGCTCTTACTGTATTTTTAAAACATGTTTTGTAGCAAAAGATTTATTATGTCAACTTTGAGACAGTCTTCCATATCATTTCAGTTGTATTTGTTAAATACCATGAACAGAGAAGTGACAGAGGAAATTTTGGGGGGTAAAATTGTTTGATGTTAATACTGATATATCAAGCAAACTTAGTCAAACATTTTCATTATCTTTTTTAAAACATATTCTCAAAAAGCTAACCATTACGAGTTTGTTATGTTTACCTTGCAAGAAATTTTTAATATAAATAAAAACTCTCATGTTAGCTAACAATTGTTTAATTTGTTCTAAGCAGCAGAGGGAGTCACTACATAAACAAGTGGACAATTATCATCTCTAGATCCCAATATGTTCAGACATAGAGGCCATCGTTAAAAATTGAACAGGTTACAGGCAAAGCCACAGATGGCTGTGAGTGCCAGGTACAGCACAGTAACATAACATGTTTTGACAGCAACGCTGTATCTACATACAGTTAGTTATTTGCACAGGGCAGGGTCTATGAGCACAGACTCTGCAAAGCTAGATATGTAAATTACTGACCCCCTGAGCAAGTTAAAAAAAAAAAAAAAAAAATCAGGTCTCAGGAAGGGAGTATAACAACACTCCCCTTTTTAGTTCTTACCACTTCTCAGCTAATTTCTACTCTGCAAAACACAAACAACGCTCACTTAGAAGACTCCTGAGTTTTTAGAGCCTGTCAATACTGTTTCTAAGCCAGATGAGCAGAGTTCAGCAGGTCCCTTTCCCTGTGCCACAAGACAAGAGCCAGGTTTGCCTGATCACTGAAAATTCCAGCTTCGGTCAACCAAATTCAGGAGAAACATGCCATGATTGGGAGAAACATGCCACATAAGGAAAAAAACCAGCCCCAAATCAATGAGAACACTACTGCATTCTCTAGCAATCATACGTATTCTTCTCTGTTTGCGCCAGGCCAATATCTGGCCCGAGAAAGAAGTTGGAAACATGATGTACAAATCTGTATGAAACAAATGCTACTTTGGCAGAGAGTTAAGAGCTGGAACATATAACTAACAGGTTCACAGAAGTGTAAACTCCACGCTGCCATCTTGAAAATTACTCTAGTGAAGTTATAAAACATATGATAGTGAAGCAGCATATTCTTTGGAATAAGAACTGGTATGTTCTGCAAAACAAGTTCCTGAAATAAGCTTTTTACTACCATTCTTATAAAACAACTTTCAAGAACTTCTTGGGTGAATACCCAATTAAAACTGAAGGAAGAGCATTTTCCTAAAAAAATCCAGTGAGCTTCTCAAGAATGTTTTCAACTTGCTTCATGAGGTCTTAGGTTCTCTGCTGGAACCTGTTTAAAAGTGGAGTGCAGTGAAGAACTGTTAAGTGTATTTTGGTCTTCAGATAGCATAATCCTGAAAGGGAACAAAGGCACTCAGAGAGTCAGCTCCCTACGTAGTGAATGTGGTAAGGCAAGATCTGCAAGACGATGTAACATCTTTTACTAAACTTGATAGTCGTGGAATAAAGAAGCTTTTATGGACACAGGACCTCCTCTTTCATATACTCAACCCTCAAAACAACCACTGCAAAACTTTCTAGTTTGTTAGACTTGAATCGCAGAAGTAAAGAAGCAGCTGCTGAGGTTTTCAAAGAAAACACACAAACAAGAAAACTAACTTATTTACATTTGTCAGCTTGAAGTACCTGCAGCAACTCACTAAAATGAAAAACAAAAGCCATCATTCTATAGAATTTCAGAGAGACTTTAAGAGATGTAGTCAATGATATGCACTATAAAATTAAAGGGTAGCCAACCAAGGGAAAATTAAAACTGTAAAGAATGAAACCACTAACAAAAATCTCAGTCCAAGGCCAAAAGGGAGAGGTGATACTTTAAATAGTTACAGCAAAGCTATATGAAGGAGCCTAAGGTTTAACTGACTGAACCTGTAGATTTACATTTCAGAAGTCTTGAAAGGCACGATGAAACAACGGAGATGATACTCTGCAGCAGAAGGTTTCAACTAGAGTATTTAAGCATTTACCAGTCAACTCCATATAACATATTAAGAAAAAACCTTTTTGTAGTTTTTATAGTAAACAAGCAGAGGTCCCAAATGTAGGGGCTTTTAAAAATAATTGTTTTACATAATCCTTGTCAGGATTTCTGAAGACAAAAAGATTTTTTAAATTGACTGTATTACAAAAGAATTTGATTATATTTATTCCAATTATATCCCAGATTTTTCTCTGATGTTATATATCCTATAGTAAAGAATAGTAAATAGGGCTGGGAAAGATCAGCTCTGCTTGTTTTTCCAAGATACCAGCATTTGAATTTATTTTACTGTAAATTCTCAGTTCACGTACGTAAGGTGGAAAAGCTGGCATATTTCCCATCATCTTTTAGAGAAGGTGTTTCTGCTCAGCAACTATAGCATCCAATCCACTTTCCTTTCCATCCGTCTAGCTTCTCTACACACAAAACAAAGCTGCACTCTTGTTGAAAAGTGGTCAGCTGGTATGATGGCTGATTCAAAATTGGCATCTAGCAAATGGAGCTTTGCAATCCATGAAGCAATGAATGACACACTTCTCCTACCTCGACATTTTGAGCAGTTGTGAATAACAGTGGTAGGAAAAGAGACGGGAGGTTCCACTTCAGAATGCCTGATCTCTGGGTAGATTAATAAAAAGCCAATAAAAGGCCTTATGTTTCAAATGTAAGGATGACAACAGACTGTTTAAACACTGAAGGCCTTAGCAGGAATTGGACGTTTTGTTTTTCTTGAAGCTCCTCCGGGAATTAGAAGCCAGTTGTTCTGCCTCATACATAACAGGAATGATGTAATTGGCCTCAGTAGTAAGAACACTCTGTTTTCAGGGGGAGGGAGACTGAGTTATTCCCCACCCTACCCCCCTTTATCTTTCATAACTTTAAGAAGAAACTGTTAGCGAGCAGGAAAGACAGCAAAATCTGCAAAACATATCCCTGAGCAGATTAGAAAGAAAATGAGCTGTTTGAAAGACCCTTTCCCACAATTATTCCATTTTGCCTTCAAATGGTTATTTCAAAACAACTGTTTCAAGACAACTGTGTCTCAATGGAACCAGAATTTTTTGGGGGCAGATCTTTCTCGCTAACCAACCCATGACTGACCGCTATAAAATTACCTCCAGATTTTCAGCAGAGGACATTGCCCTAATGGGAAACACACAACCCTAAAAAACACTTTGCGTCTTGAAATGCAGAGTACAAATTCAAAACTCCGAAACCATGGCAAAACACTTACTTTAATTATTTTTTATCCAAATAACTGCACTTTATAATGAACTATTGATCTTAAAATGTATTTTAAGGAGTACACTGACTTCATCTGTAAAGGGGATCCATTAGCAAACAAGGATTAAAAAGCAGTACATGCACGCATGTTTACTTTGAGGAGATTTCTTACAAGATAATGCAGATCTACTCAAACATTTGTTTTGCTCCAGCTGAAACAACTTCGTTTGAGTATAATTAAGTGCTCTACTCTTATTAAGTTACATACCAGAAATATCTGACTTAGGTGTACAATATATCTGTGGACTTAAGCCAGTACTTCTTTTGGAAAGACACAGAAATCAATGATCAATGCAGAACTGTATTTCCTGCTGCTGTTATTACATGCAAAGAAGTGAATATGCTAAGTATACATAAAATAATAAGATGTAACATTTTAGATAAGCTATCATTTTGAACATTTTAATTTTATATCCTTTTCTGCTTTAACTGTAGTCCTATGACTTTTTAATCTGCACAGAAAAAGAGATTATTCTGCCCCCATTGATGCTAATAGACACAAAATGACCCCAGGATCTCCAAAAAGAAGGAAGAAAAAAAAAACCTAACAAAGAAGTAACTAATCCCTGCCATATTTCAAAAAAGCCTTTGGAAATGCTGTGCAAATATCTTGCAGCAACAGAAAGCATGTATCAGGACGACTCAACATTGACCAAGTTACCATGGCTTAACCAGTTAAGTAGCAAATGCAGAGTAAAAATTTTCTTAAGCCTCTCTCACTGAGGTTTAAACCTAGATGCTTTACTTCACATCTGAGGCAGACTAAAACTAGACACATGCTCAGTTGCTGCAGCTCAGCTGCAGCACAGGAAAAGGTGCTATTCATCAGTGAGCTAAATCAATCTAACAGCCAGCTGCCATGGGGAGGCTTCACTGATGCCCTGGCCATGGCTGCATTTTATTCAACCCTTCCTTGTGCTCACACTGAGTCAGTCCAGAGAAGTAAACTGCAAACTACTCCTCACTTCACCAAAATGTTTTCTGTGCTTTTGCTCACTGGTTCAGCTCACCACCCAGCCAGGGGACCTGGGACGCACTGCAGGGACAAGGAGGCAAGGAAAGCAGGAGCAGCACAACTTTCAGTGGCAGCTAACCATAAACTCAGCTGAATTGTATCATCAAGCTACACCCTTCCTCACTTAATGGCCCCAGCCTAGAGTTTTTAAGGTTTGCTTCCAATTTATTTCCTAATCCATTTCGGGGCAATTGGTTTTCTGCTAAATAGCCATATATGAAGCAGGAGGCTTCATCTGTCACCTATTTGCCTGAGCCCCTTCACAAGAAAGGCTAGCAGGTTTAGCAGAAGGACTGCTGGAACTTGCAGTAGATCTTCCCTAAGTGCAAAATCTGTGCCAGTGATCAATAATTAACATACTTTCACCCTGACCTGTCAAAGGCTAGAGACAAACCAGACACATACGTTGAACTTGGTCCTTTTTGACTGGAAATACTGAAACCATAAATAATCCTCATATATAATCCTGACATAATGTAATTACCTTCAGATGGATGAGCATCATTTCTGGGAAGCTTAGGGGAAAGAGGAGCCGAATATGGCGGAGAGTCCTGAGAGTATCGTTTAGCACTCCTGTTTTCAGGTATTTCTTCTTTTGCTGTGAAGAGACAAGTCACCACCTATTATTCTAGCATAAAGCTGCTCAGGTGGAAAGTCCAGGGACAAAAGCAAAGACACACATCAGCCATTCACCAGGTTACAGTTCAGTTTCTTGTGTCACACAGACTCAGTCATTTTGATACAAACTTTCAAAGCTGAAGTACAGCTTATATACTGTCATCACCCAAATTACCTTGACCCTGGCTACTTTTCTGAAAAGAGTTAAAACTAATGACTTTCATATGACAGACAATTATAAACATACTTTCTCCATTGGGGGAGGTGAGGGGGGGTGAATATTTTATTTTCTAAAGTAGCACCCGGAAGACAGACTCAGCCAATCAATCAGACAGCTGTGAGGAAGCTTCATACCCAGTATGAATCTTCAGAAATTGCCCTGACATGAAGGTTTTCTCAGCTACAGCTCCTGGTAACGTTTGGGCTAGAACTTGTAATGCCAAACCCTGCAAACAACCTGATCGGAGATCTGGTGCAAGTCATTTCATTTCCCCCTCACTCCACGCTCCCGGTGCAGCAAAGATATTGGCCTCATACAAAATATCACAAGCAGCCACCTGCAAACCCCACCTTTTCTACTAGGAGACTGGACTGTACATAGTAGAATGTAAAATTTTTAGAGCCACCACTTCATAAGGTGAATAAAGAGGGAAGAAAGGACCTTTTACTGGTGTGGGAAGGGCTAGACTGAATTCCCTTTCAGGGCAAGCCCCTTCTCACAAGGCAGTAAGTATCTTTTTGTAAGTTTATTTTATGATCTGATCATAAATCTAACAATGACATGTAAAGTTTTGAGCTTGTCCTTTTAGCAGTATCACAGTGGTGCAATACATATGTTTCCTGGCTTGGCTACAAGGAGGAGGTTTGCTGAACAAAATGATTTCTGGACACGTGGTATGAGCTATCCCATCCTGTCAAAGCACTACTGCACTGGAACCAATTCACTAAGAACTGAAGGGTATTCATTTCAATCAATTCACGTCATAGTAAGACAGATTTAAAAATTACATTTCATGAAATTGCCACACTTCTCAAAAATACCAGCACTTGAAAATAACAGCTGTTTAACAGTACCTGGTTTGTTCCTGTCATACTCTGTAGGACTATGTGCACATCCCACGTAAGGGCTGAAAGGCTGGCTACTAAAGAGATTATCACACTGCAGGCTGTGGCACAGTTTCTCCAAGAAGCGTAGGACAAACGATGCGCTGTTTACAGAAGGAAGATTGATGGCATGCTTTTCTCCATCAAAGGAAGCTGTGAATAAGAAGATGATGTCAAACACCCCCCAAGCATCATGAAGTACAGTAAAACACCGTCATTAACTTAAAGGAGAAGACATCCAGATTTGATTTAAACCACACAAGACATGAGAGGAGTAAGCAATCATTCTGGTAGTTTAACAAATTTACATCCAAAGGACTGATTTTATGTTCTGTTGGATCCATGCCAGTTTAAATTTCATCTATGGGAACTTATTTTAATAACATAATTTTGGAATCACACCAGCATAACAAAACTTGCAACTATTCCCTCATCACCAAAACCTTACGTATAATTTCTGTTGTTTCCTTAAAAACAGCAAGCTCTCCACCACCTGTTTGCAGGAGATAACACAGAAAAGACCCTTTGCAGCACTTGCTAAAAAAAAAAAAAACCAAAACCAAAACCAATATTTTTTTTTAAAAAAGGAAGCAAACAACTTTAAGATTTTTTTTCGCAGTTTCTAACTGATCTGAGCATGCTTGTGGTAATGTGCTAGCATCCACTACCACTGAAATTCTTCCTACAGACACTGTTTTGCCATTTGCTATTTTATCACTAGAGAAATCTATCCTGCTGTCAACACTACAGTGGTCAAGCTCCCGTTTATTTCAACAGGAGCTAGGTGGCAGAGATACCACAACAGCCACAAATGGATCCGGTGTCTTTTAAACTGAGTGATTACAAAGAGCCTGGACATGTGCCTATGTCTTTTACTTGTTGAACTCCTTCCTTGTCCCCCAAACAGAGTGTTACAGCTGATGATATTTTCCTTTTTTGTGAAAATTAGTAAGATTTTGAAAAGACTCGATAGAACCAACATACAGATAAATAATTACCATTACATTAGCTGAAACTTTTAGTTACTTCTGATTAGAAAGACATTATGACAAAGCAGGAAGAAATTTGTAACTTAAGCTTAGGGATAGAAAGAAGTGGCATAAACACCAGGTTTATGCATCAATTTGTCATCTTGGTTTTCAGCCTGTCATGCAGCTTTCTGTTGTTAACATAAGTTTCCAAATGGTAAGTAGAGCTTTAAGGGATCACATTTTGTTGGTAGCATGGTAGCAGATGCATTTAATAAAATAAAAAAAAAGAAAAAAAAAAGAAAAAGAAAAAAACAAACAAACCAAAACCACCACAGAAATGACAAGAGAGCCTTTATTCACAGATCTGAATTAAGGAACATTTCCATATTGTGTTACAAGAGAGACAGATACTATACACAAAACCAAAGAAAACGCCCAGGTTTAGCATATTTTAGGCTTCCTTAGGAAATCAGAAGTGTCAATTACTTCACACTGTTTATGTAAGGAAGCTTCTGATTAATGCAAGTTAGCCAGCTAGCATCAACAACAACATGTTACTTCTCTCATCTGTTTTCATGACAGACTGACCCAATGCAAGTGCTTAAAGTTTAAGAGTCAGTACTACACGGACAAACCCCAGACCAACGTGTTTCCATGGCCCATTCCATTTTTCCAGGCCTCAACATTCAAATGAAATGCTAATGAATCACAGTCCCACAGGTGGCTCAGACACAAGGTCCTCTACCTCCTTTTTGGGGAAGGGGTCTCCAAAGGCAAATTTTAGCTTGGAACTCAACCAGTTCTGGAAAGCAAATGGGCTGTTAGACCTAGCACAGCCAGATCTCCTGACAAATTTACTGCAAGGCAGTAGTCACCTACAGCAAAAATTTAAAATGCTTTATAATAGCCTTATGGATCTTCTTATATGACATTGGGGAAATCACTTATTCTCCATGCCTTAATTTCTCATTTTGAAACGAAGCATTGAAAAGAACAATATTATCTTAGAGTTGTCAGGAGGGTAAAGCAAGAAACAGCGGAGGCAATGTGACTGCTTCAGCAAGACACACCATGGGAAAAATCCACAAATAAAGATTCAGTGCAAACACAGCTCTCTTGTACTCTGAACACCTGAGGGCAACCATACGAACTCCAAGGGTGTGGGATCCAGATCCATAGGCTCAACTGTCTGCTCTGCTTGGGAACAACATAAGCCTCTTACTTCTCAGCTAAATGCTAGGGTAAAAAATAAAAAGGAGTACTGCTGAGGTGCCATAACCTCAACCTTTAATGACAAATAAACAGGGAGTGGAGCTTGTGTGTGCAATCCCAGCCCCTGGAATGAAGAGTCATTCTCATTTCTTCACCTTCCATTGTGTAGGTATGTTTTAAATACCGATTCAAGCCAGGAGAAAGGTTGAGAGCTAAGCTATCAGATAAATGTGTTTGTCTGACAGTGAAGAAACTCACCCAAGAGTTTGATTTTAATTCTCTGCTTGAGAAGATTTATCTGAGCCTCAGTCTATTTCATCCCACCAAACACCATAGTGTCTGAGCTACAAGGAGAAAAGAAGGGCTGACGCGGTCACCACCATTAGTGGGCTTGCTAATCAAGCCTTTAATTTCCTTTCAGTTATACTTGCCTGAATTGAAACCTTATGCATCAAGCAAAAATAAAATGGTTTGTGCTTCTGTTTGAGTAAGAAAAGATGGAAAAATCTAAATTTGATTCTATTCAAAACAATTATTTTCCTTGGCAGCTGAACCAAAAGAACCCACTAATTATTCATATGTATTCTCGCAAGGTTATTTTATCCATGTCCTCATTAGCATACAGTTTCCTCCTACGGCAGGTACAATACTCATCATGAAAATATCAGTCCGCAAAAGATTTAGGTTTCTTTCCTTATTCTCTGCTGCAACATTTTTTTTTTTCTTGCCAGTCTAAAAAAAAAAAGCTGAACAACAAACCACACTCCAAAAACTTTCAAAAACTCTACAAGAAAACACTCTCACAATTTCATTCTGTAATCCCTCATTTTATTCTACTGTAACTTTCCTCTTCTTCCTTACTGTTCACATGCACAGCTGGTTGTAATGTGCTACATTAACCTAAGTCACATTTTGTGCTTTTCAAAATACATTACACAAATTTCTGATAAAATGACAGGGAGTGTTTGCTCACCCGCTTCTCAGCAACCTGTTTGACACGTCAATGAGAAGGCAAGAGCTCAAGAACACCGGAAACCCGCTGGGGTCTTGTGGCTCGCTATCACCTGGACCAGGACTCTGCTTCAGGAGCAGTCCACATCATCAAGTTCCTCAAATCCAGCGCTACAGAGCTGGTTTCTCTGAATCGAGGCCTTGGGGTAAAGCCAGGTGCAGAACAGCAATTCCTTTCTGTACAGAATTTTTGAATGTAAACAAACCACAACTACATAAAGATTCTGAAATTTCTCTCTCCTCTGTGAGATAATTATTTTCAACAACTCAGTCACAGCCCAGATACTCCACTGGCCTACGATTTAGTCCTTCATGATAAACAACTCACAAACAGAATACTGGCAATGCACACCTCAGTGCATTTTGTTCAAGAAAATGGACCTGTCTGAATTAGGTACAGCAAGGTATTAATAATGTAATAAACTTCCATATATCATGCAAAAATAAAGCAATATGGGTTACAAAACCACATGTATACAATGCCATTAAACCAAATGCAGTTGAGAAGCAGCACCCATTTTGTGAATGAAGTCATGGGAGTGCATAAGCAAGGCTTACTGTAGTTCTGGTATATGCAGGTTGGGGTGCTGCTTTTTAAATATTGTTAGACAGCAACATCTTTATGAGGATTTAATTGAACCTGTATTCCACTAATCTTTCACATCTGGTGTTAATGTAAGGAGATTAAAGTAACACAAAGTCTTTTTATCGCCAGTGATGGAATTATGAATTGATGTGCTAACGGATATATGGAATATTTCCTAGCCTAGAAGTAAAAAAAGTCAAGCAGCAGCTATACAGCTTGAGATACAGAGATAATTTATCTGTGGACCTGCCATTAATATGTAGCAGAAATAAACCCATTCCATAATAGGGCACATAGGTGGATGAACACTGACCTAAGATACTGCTACAATTCTGGGGAATGGGGAAAGGGGAGAAGCAGCAACTTTAACATGTGGAATCACTTGCCTGGAAGCTAAACACATTAGTTTGAAACTTTTCACCCACTTGGTTAAGGCATTAAGAACACAAACACTATGTATGGATAAGATTATGCGAATGACTTGAATTAGTAAAGCTGATATTTCACTTGTACTGAGTTTACTTGACAAATGTTTGGCTATAGCTGCTAAATCAGGTGCACAAGCTCTACTTAGTATAAGAATCTAACTGTATTGTGTATATGTAATTTAACACTGCTATTGCTAAATTCTCATTTAAAGAATTGTTCAAATCATCCTGGACCTGGAGTCAGATAAATCACACACCACCAATACTCGCTTAGTAAATAAAAGAATTCACAAGTACATGTTCTCAACTGTGCTTAAATAGTTACAAAAGTGATATAAACTCACTGCAGCCACTTCAGTTCTTCTGCCCTACCTCAAGTTCGCAAACCAAGTGAAGAAACAGAAGAAACAAAGCATCTTCACATACCAGTTATCATTTCCCCTCCGTGATGGCCAGATTTCAGAAATCCAAAGACTGTTTTGGATTGATAGGCACAATCCACGCAAGCCTGTACAGCCTGCTGAAGTACCACATTGACAGGACCTGGTCCAAAGTGATCTGGAAGCTGCTGAACCTTCTTCTTATCCAGGTGAGGCCCAGAATTTCCATGCTTGTTGACATAAACACACACTGAAAAAGAACAAGCCGTATTTACCACCAAGGAACTAAGACATGTTTCCAAGTTACAACTGCAAACCGCCTTTTTAGTTTTAATCTTGAGGAAAAGATGTACTTGTCAACTCAAAAAGCTGAACATGCATACATACTTGCAGAGCGTACAAAAAGTGCACACTCTGTCTTCCACCAAGGTTCTCCTGCCTGAGTCCTAAACCCACTTCTTTCTGGTCTCTAAAGCCCTTCTCTACCCCACTAACGTAACAAAGCTGTCATAATCTGTGCTTATCTTTTATTTTGACTAATCTCTGTTCATACACTAGTTCCAATAAAGAAAGAATTACTGGCAGGTACTCTAAACTATCAAGATGCGATTCTAAAAAGCTGGCCTTGCCAAGTTACTTCCCTAATTTTTGTCCTATTTGAGAAGCTGCACAAAGACAACCCTATGGTATATACCTACCACCGAAGCTCATTCTGAAGCACCCATGTGTGCATGTATAATGGTCCTGTGTGCATGGTCCTGTGTGCATGTATAACGGCTACTGAAGGTCTGTACCTTCAGAAGCCCTGAGCCACTCATGTATGATTTCCACACAGCAACTTGGCCTTCTCTGGTACATAAAATAAACACACTTCTCTAGAAATACTGTAAGGCGGTTAGCACAAAACAATCAAATAGGACTTCAGAAATTACTTTTTATAGAGACTATGCAAAACTGTCTTTCAAAAGGAACGGCAAGGCAGAAAAAACATGGGAAAAAGCCATAACAGAAGATTTTTTTTTTTTTTCTTTTTGGCCTTGGCTGTCACATGACCAGGAAGGCACCCAAGACGTTATTAGAGCTTAATGAAAAAATGTGCCTCTGTGGTGATTAAGCAGACAAACTAAGCATTCTGTTCTACAAAAGACTGCCATATTTTCTGAACTGTAGGAGCATTTGGGCTTAGTTAAAAACCTGGATTTTTAAAAATGAAGTATTTCTGTAAGTGTTTTAATGATCTTATATCTTCATGCATATCTGCTCACTCTCTGATGTCTGTAAATTGGAGGAAACCTATTTGTACAAATAAGCAAAGATACAAATCAGCAAAATAGTTTCCATGGCATATTCTGTCTGGGCTCAACAACAACTGCCTCCTGAAAGGTTTATTTTCCTCTCATCCATGACTGAAGTTGGGAGTGAGAAGAGCCTGACAACTTCTATTGTAAAAACAGTTTTTAAATGTAAAAAAGCACCCCAAACAAAATTATCATAATTTATGGAGTTTTTAGAAAGTTCTGAGATTTGGTTGACAACATACAAATTGTTTCACTACAGGGTTACAAGTTCCTCAATGAGTTAGTTCATCAACTAGCTTATTTCTCTTTTGCCAATCCTTTTCAAGATACATTTCATTATATTTCAAAAACAAGCAAGCATAAAAGGAAGGAGGAATGTATTTCCTCTGACTGCCTTTACTTGGCTTAAACAGTCTGAGCTGTTTCTTTTAATGTAAGGCTATACAGAGATAAAATCTCCATTTTGTTATATTACAGTACAGCCTGCATGATATCAGAATATCCTATGGGTTTTTAGCTACATCTACTCCCATTTCATACATTAAGGAGTGGGTCAGACATGAGAGAACTGTACAGTTTCCATCTTCAGACAGGAACAAACTGCCAGGTCTGGGAGATCTTTCAAAAGCACCTGTGCTCCAGCACTTCTTGCTGTAATGCAGACATCAAAATACTAGTTCTGCAAAGTAACACTGGCACCTACAAATATCTTTAAAAAATAAGGTAGCTGGATGATGATTTAAAGTAATGAGTTTGCCACACATTTTCCATAAAATGACACTACTAGTTTGCTTGAAATGGAAGCCATTTCACACTAAAAATGTCATTAATTTTTTTTCTTTATCTTTTACCTGTGGATATAACTGATGCAGTTGCCCCAGACAAACTAATTCCATCTTTAAATAACTGTGTAGTGCCACTGTCCCCCTCAGGAGAAGAATGAGGAGAAGGAGATGCAGGACTCAGTTGTTCCAGCAAGACTTTTTTCTGTTTAGAGAAAAAACCCAAAGTCAAAATGTTTCATGGTTTTTAAGGAATCTGCAAAACCTTTCTGCTATCAGTTACCATCTTACTGAATGTGTGTGGTTCCTTATTACAAAAGTACTACACATAGCAGAGAAGATAAAGTCCAGGAAAGAAAGACCAGAAACTGTCAGTTTGCATTTACAGCTACACAAGTAAGGCATTGGAAGACAAATTACTTAAAAAGGAACCCACCTCTATCTAAAAAGTGGGAAAATAATGAGCTTTATATGCTAATTCATCACCCTTTTAAATCTTAGGAAGCACAAAAGAGGCATTTTGGATTATTTTCCTGTCCAAACCCTTCCAATCATCTGGATTTATGACAACTCAAATCAGTTAGTTGGGCTGTGTATATATTCCCATACAAAACTTGAGTCACATTTAGGTGTCAACTTTACAGTGCACCTAAATTTTCCCGCGGCTTGTTTCAGAGGGGCTGAAATTCTCAAGTAATCACTTTCAGGAATTGGTGCTTTACGCAAGATACCAAATAAACCAGTAGTTACAATCCAGTCATGTGGGTTGCCAAAACCTTCTCCTTTCCCAAACCAAACTTATTTGCAGCTTATCATGACAGACAGAGTTCACAGCACAAAGACTTAGAAATTGGTCAGCACACATTACCTGAGAAAAGGAGAATTTTGCTGTAATTTGGTTTGGACTGGGGTTTAGAACAGAGACATGCACAATGAAGACATTTCTAATCTGCTTTGACATGCTATGAAAATACATGGAAATGAAGAAATAATGAATTGGAGAAAAGTTCATCACCTCTCCCTTCACCATTTATTCTTGCATGAGAACAGATTATGTTCTCATTCTCTTACCTACAAAAAAAATTAGGAATATATGAGATTACCCAAGGTCTTGACATTGCTGAAGGCAGCAGAGACTTGGCTACTCATGTGGTAAGGATTTACTGCTAAAATTAATCCATAGTGAAGTGAAAATTCAGTCAAGTTTCTAAGGGAGGCGAAGCCTTCCTCCATTTAGCAGTATTCATCCTTTACACTTTAAGCAGCAGCGTATTTTCCGAATAATATATTAGAAATCCTGTAGAAAGCAATCAAAATATACACTTTCCTAAGAGCAGCAGTGTTCAACTTCTTCACAACTTCTATAAAGAATAAATTTACTTTCTTCTGAAATCCAGGGCATTTCAAAGAAAATTTCTGTGCCCCTTACAGTTCAGAGAAGATAGGTTTGACTGGAGAAACTACTTGACAACATGGCACTGCGTGGAATCACCATGAATATAAGGAATAGACTGCCAAGGCTTGGCACTGGATCATGAATGAGACAAGGTGGCTCAGGTCAGGCACTGAACCAAGCAGTGATGTACTACTTGTCAGGAATTGCCTATGTATCTTAACATTGGGTGACAGAAAGGTCTCTCTCCACCCTTAACACAGAGAACAAAAATGCACTTGGGAAGTTGGAGCTTTTGATCTGAAGTCTGGCATTCCTGAAGGCCCCTCTGGAGCAGGGACTCTTTGGGGAGGCAGTTGTCTGTCACCATGCTGCAAAATATGGGTGGTCGACTTGAGAGGAAAGAGGAGGAAATGGGAGAAATGTAGGCATGAAAACAAAATACAAACACTAAACTGTAAGACAGAGGAACCATCCACCCTCCACACTAACACATAAGCGTGGTGAGGCTAGCCAGCCATTTCCTACCTTCTCCGTCAGAAGGAGGAAAGAGCACACGTTTTGGAAATACAGCACATCAGGCTCGCTCAGCTGAGGTTCTCATTTTGCAACCCCAAACTGACGAGCAGCAAACTGCGATCCCAAAGCCATGTTGTTTCACGAGGCAGGCCACATTCCCAGCAGGGCTCAGCTTGGTCAGGGTGTCACTGGCTGGCCCCAGCCAGCTGGGAAGGCACACCGTTTGCCTGCAGAGAGCACTGGTCACTGTCTGGCACCACATGGCCAAGTTGACAGGCTTTACCCTGACGCTTAAAAGCTCTCTTCTTGTGGGGTCAAATTTAGGGCTGTGATCCACACTCAGACCAAGGCACTTCCTCAAGAAACTCCGTAAGGAATTCTTTGCATTGTTATGCAAAGTGTACTTTTAAAATAATTAAAGAGATGTACAGAGATTTCTTCTTCATTTTGACAGAGTAAAAACATACGGTACAAACTGGGGGAGACAAATGGAAAACAAAACCCAACATGCATCTCATAGTTAGGGAGAAGCTTAGAAAACTTTTCAATGAAGGAAAAAAATGGCACAACAGCTCAACATTCCTAGATGTATAATAAAAGTTAATACCTACACAATGATAAACATTGCAGCATAATGAACCTAAAAGGGCAAAGAAAGTCAAACAGCTCTACAGAGTATCAGGCATAGACCAATCTCCCTAAATACACAGTTTTTGAACTACCACATAGCCAGCTCACACATGAAGCACAATTAGCCTGAAATCTGGAGGGTTTTTTCGGAGCGGCCTGGGGAGGAGAGGTGGGAAGCACTTTCAAATCTCTAGGCACATACCACTTGCATTATATTTGTGTATGTACCATGAGGTATATGGGCTGTATGGCACTCCATGTCAGATATACCCTGCCTCTGCAGAACTCCCACAAAGCCATTTCTTCTCTTCACCCTTATGCTAACAGGCCTAACAGTCCAAAGAAGAGCTTGCACTTATGTACAACATCTTGGCAATTTAACCATGTACCAATGCAATAACAATCTTCCGTGGATTCTCAAAAGGAGCTAATTTTTAAAGTTTTTAATGCAAAAGTTAATGTAGTAAAACTCCCAAGTTACATATATCAAACTTAGATTCTGCAAAACCTAACTCTTAGTTGCCTGGTCCCACACAGAGGAAATCAGGAGTGTGTAGAGGTACCTCAGGTGCATTGCCTCAAGACAGGGAGTGTCAGTGGTAACCCCCATTCCCCAAGCAAATCCCCCCAAGTACCTCACACAGACCAGGTGCCAAATACAGTGCTCCAAGCAGACACTTTCAGACACCCAGCTTTTAGAGCCCAGAAGCCTCTAAGGGTGAGATGCCTCCAATTATTCTTTCAAAGGATACGCAAAGCCTCTCAATTTCTTTTTCATGAGATACAGAGGACAAAACTCTTACATGAAAGTGCGCACCCTGCCATACCTGAGTACATTCTTAAGATATGGAAGCCCTATGTTCAATGTTCTCCTTTAAAGCCCCCCAGACTTATGGAGAACACCCCGTGCACCAGCTGAGTCTGGATGGCAGCACTCTTCTCCTCTTTGATCTGTGCCTCTGTGCACTTCTATACACCAAGCAAGAGATAAAGCTGGAGACCACTTGCATCAGTAGCCTACCAGTTTGGATACCGAACTGGAAGGGGCAGGCAGCAGAGGAGACAGCACTTGGCTTTCAATTGCTGGTCCCCAGAACCATTTCTTATCTTGTGGTCATCATTTCAACGAAGTGCCTGCTTCCAGCTTTGTGCTAGAGCCTTCTGGGTATGCTCTAATAATATTACTTCACTAGCACTTTACACTGAACAGCACTATCGCTGAAGGGAGAAGTCCCACCTGTGCCATTACTCCACCTCTTCCCACACATCACTAGCAATAGATCCCATAGCCCACAGTGATCCAGGCTGGAGTAGAAAAAACCCCAAACTTTAACTTTTTCAAACTTGGGGGCAGGGGGGGAAGGAAAAAAACCAAACCCAACAGAAAAAACTATGTCCTCCACTCTGCCATTGGTGCTAATGCAAAGGAGGGAGGAGCGCAGGGACAGACACAAATTGCGTGGGGAAAGACACTGCAAGATTGCTACTCCTCTTTGCCAGCCTGCAGTGGGTGAGCAAGCCTCAGAAAATAGATTGTACTTCCACGGCAATTCAAATTGTCCTAAATCTGCCCTGCTGTGATCCTATCCTTCCTTGCAGCAGCCGTAGCATTTGTGCTTTTTTTTGGGTGGAACAGACAAAGAAGAAAGTAAGAGGGCTGGATGGTAGGTTAGCTGTCTACCAGTTTAGCTCCCTGAACTAGCTCACTCTGGGATTGTTTACCCACCAGTGTTGCTGTCACATGCGAGCGGGAAGGGGGGGTTACAGCAGTGCCAATTTGTACCTGATCAAACAGTTCCAGAGGAGCTGAAGCTGGAGGCAGCTGCCAACACTCCAGGTCTGACTCAGCTTGGCAGGGAGAAAGGCAGAAAGGCATCACCTCTTTCAGACCAGGGCAGAATTAGGCCCACGCCTGGAGAAATGTATTGCCTGGAAAGAAGCTTCCTGCTTCATGCTAGTATGTCCAGGATTAGGGGATATCTAAGAGATTCATTTGGCAAATCCAGCTGTATGCTTAAGATGCCTAAATTCTGCAACAAAGACCTCGCTGTTCCTAATCCTTTGTTTCTAAACACGAAACAAAACAAAAAAAATTTAAAAAGTTATGCAAACTATAGATATGGTTCAGAAACAAAACAACCCAGACTAAAAAGCCTAAAGGCTTCCCTGGCTCTTGTGATTTTACTGGCAATGGCTATCCCAGAATAGTATTTTTCAACACCAACAACTGACTCAAATAAATTAGTAATCTTGTTCTGGAATACAATAATCCACAGAAGCTTATACTGAATATTCCAGAATAGCTATTCTAGACTTTTTCTTGTAATCAGCTGCTGAGAACAGTAAAGCCCTGAAGGCTGAAGAGAAGACAGAAAATTAAATAATTTTAAAAAATCTCACTACAAAATTTTGCAATATAAAGTAAAGTAGTAGATAAGGACTAACCTTTTTTCCAGGTTTTAAACTTTTTTTCCTTGTTTTAAGATTTTCAGTATGAGAGGTGCTTTTTGTCAGGGGAATATTTTTAGGAGACCTGCCCTTCTTGGGAACTGCAGACTGTCCAGGGGGTTTGCCCCGACCTGGTTTCCTGCCCCGTTGCGCTGGTACTGGAGCAGATTTCTGTGGAGACTGCATTGAACGCCGGGTCACTTTGGAAGGGGAAGATTGGAATTTTGCACTGCTCTTTGTAATGGAAACTGAGGAAAAACAAAAACAAAAGGGAAGGGGGGGAAAACCTCAAAATGAACGATGGAAAGTAACTTTTCTAACAAAGGCTTAAAAAAAAATAAAAGTGTAGTGCACAATTTACATTGTAAAATAAATATACTTGGATATTTTGAACTCAAGTGGTTGGCATGAAACTATATAACTTCATTAAAGCCAAAGAGAGAACTCTTTATACCCATTATTTTAGAGGGACTTTGCTATGAGAAAAACATTCAAATAAAAATAATTTAAAAAGAATTAATCTACTCACCTTATAAATGCTTCCCATAATTTAATTACGATAAGATATTTATAAAGTGCCATTCATCAAGAAGGCTTTCAAAATACTTCACAAATTATACAGCCCATAATACATCTGCTCTTCTCTAAGAGCAGTTTCCACGATTACAATACATGCCAACTACTTCTAGGGAGCTACAAAGTAATTCTGAGCAGCAAAGAAAAATCATCCCACTGAAGAGGAGAAACTGATGATAGGCAAAGTTATCATTAATGAGCATTTGTCTGAGATGACAGTTTAGAAAAAATTAAGTTCACATAACTATACCAGATTCTTCTACCTGGAGCCATCCAGACTTAAAATTTTATCTGGAAAAAGGACTTCCAAAAATCCAACACGAAGTATCATTTTTATTCATTCTTAACACTAAAGTGGTTCTCTGTTGAATCTCCCATCCTAAGACAAAATTGATCCAATATGTACATGATGTGACTGTATTATAATCTGGTGTGAAGCTGGAAGATGTAATCAGATTTCATTGAACAGAACTTCCTAGTTAACAATCTTTTCCACCCAACTTGCTCTTCTCTGAAGTAATAATGATTTTATTTTAACAATTTCCTTCACAATGGACAGATTAAAACACCAGAAAGATGCCAAACAAAACCTACGGATAAGGACATATCCTCAGTGAAAAGTCGTACCGCACCAAAAGTCCCACAAATATTCTATTTTGTTGGCCTGACTGCTGGCAGGCAGACAGATGCATATGGAAGAGGTAAGTAGAAGATGAAAACAGGAGGTTTTGTGATATCAAACCACCCTCTTCACGAGAGGTGTGGGAAAGGAACACACAACATATTTGAAATAATTTGAAGCCTTTACACTAAAATTAGATGGCTTTCTAGTATCACACTGCCCCTACCACAGCCTTTTGCATCTTGCTGACGATGAAACTCCCGTGATTCACCCTAACCTTAAATACTATGAACTAAATGTGACACAATGTAGAAGTATTGCAGGTTAGGGTTCAAGTGGGCTTTGACTGTGTCAGTCACCAGTGCCTGATCCAAAGTGCTAATGCAGACTGAAAGTGGAGCATAGGGGGCTACTAATAGTTAATTCCCTGGATTTTTGTGCATTTGGAATATTTCTTCTCCTAAAATATTAGTATGTTGAGGCTTTCTGGTAAGCAAATAAAACATGAAATAAAACTCAAAGATACATTTGAAATGAGATCTTGAGAAAATAACATACTTAAAGATTGAGTAACAGTTTTCATGTCTACCTCTGAGTGATATTCACCTTAACAATCCACCACCCAGCTTTATAACTGTTACTTCAACTCTGAATTTTTATTCACGAGTTAACTGTTATTAAGTATTTGCAATACAAAATGTCACAGTAATATGAAATACACACTGCAGACAGACTTCTTATAAAATACAAGTACTACTGACACACATTTTTAAAGCTGTATAGGAGCATTTACATACATTGCTATTTGTCTGATTTGGTTACTAGTCTAATATTCCTAAATGGCAGTTCAGAAGAAATCTCTTCATTATGGCTGGTTGCAATCCTAATACATCACATACAGACATGATATCCCTAGATATCTGAGAAGGACCACATTCTGGATATGCAAAGTGATCACCTTCCTTTTATTTATGCGTGCCCAAACTTATTTTCATAGGCAATGACAGCTTAAAATAAGATGAACAGAATTTTAACCAAATGCTGGCATAGCATTACTCTTAGGTCTCCGAATTGCTGCATGACACCTTGCATTAAGCTGTACATCTGGAAAGCAAAACAATATCAACTGTATGCTGTACAATACAATACTACATATTGCATCCTGTATTATGCTTACACCAATGTAAAATGCAGCTATTTTTATTTATTCGTGCCACACAACTATGTGTTTAACAAAACAATCATGACCTCATAAAGAAATATTTCACAAATTCTTTGTGCCTCTGCCTATCCTGAAATCTAGCAAATGCATTTCTATGCTCAAAGACACAGCTAAGGTTAAATACACAGATAATTGCAATGTCAACAGGTTCTAGGAGCACAGGTATGAGTTTCGGGACACTGGGCAATCCCTACTCCCTTCCAGAAGGACATTTACCGGACAAAGAGTAACAATGCAAACAGCTCCAACCACTTCAGGCTGCCCTCTTGAACCACAAATATCAAATACCCTTATCTCAGCATCTTCCTACCTGTATACGCCAGAGGACCAAATATTAGCAGCATTTACCATTAAGGGGGGGGTAAGGTCCCATTTGGTATTTTTTTCTTCTGCCTAGGGCTGAAGCTGCTTTTTTCAATAGGCAGAACTGCAACAAAGCCCATGCTGCCCGGGCAGCTTCCCAGAGATAGCAGCAAATGAGGAGGCTGCTATTTGCATTTGTTGATTTAAGAGAGGATGGGGGGAGCACAAGGGAGCGGGAGACTGCTAAAGTAATTCCCATATTGTCTGCAGCCTGTATTGACAGTGATCATCAGTCACCTGCTCATACTTCCTTCACCCCGGCCTTCAGAGGGAGACCAAAGGTTACGCTGGGTCACAGGATCTGGAGGGAAATGAAAAGACATGCAAAATCAAGCTGCCAACCCACTGCATCTGTAGACAGAGTTATCCCCACTAGGCCACATGTTCCAAAAACTAAGACGTTTTAATAGTCTCATGAGAACTTGTTAAAATATAACGATGAAGAGAATAGAGAGGAAAAATGCCAAGCTCTGCTTGCAATTACTGCAGTATTTAGCTGGGATATTTACAACCAAAAAAGCACATTTGCCTTTTCAGGATGCTGCTTTGCATCACAAAGGCCTTCTCATTTGCACAAACAAAATCAAGCATTTGTGTCATGTTGCTCCTCTACACAAATATTCACTGCTCCAGTTTCAGAAGTGGGATGCATTGCATGGCATTCTTTCCCAAGTCTCTTATTTAGACCCAGAAACTGTACTGGCATCCTCAAAAACTGAGGAGCAGAGATCATGCTATGCAAACATACTTTACCATAGTAATGTTAGCAACTAAACGGCGTTTTCAAAGTTCACAGAGCTCTAGTTATACTGTCATGTTAGCGAGGGCTATAGGTGACTACCTTCATGCAACACTCAAACAGTTTTCATGTACTTTCAATTACTGCTTATTCAAAATATTCTCTTTTTTTTCCCCCAAACTGTTCTGGTAGAATCCCAACACCTATAAACTTTGTATCTAATGTGCAAGAGAAACCCCAAATCCAATCTTGGAACACACAGCCTAAAGATGCATTGCCACAACTCAGTCCTCACTCACACAAGCAGATCCACTGGAGTCAACCAAGCTCATTTGCATGAGAACGGCATGAAAGATTAGACTTCAAAAGGAGGGCCAAATTCTGCTTGTAGAAGCAGAAAGACTGCCCAGACACATGCAGGACTGCAAAATTTGACCCCAGAATGTTATCCCCAAGATGTCTTGCCAGAATAAGTCAGATATTTAATACAACTGTGAAATCTGAAGCTACTTGACAGTGACACCTCCAGCACTTGGGAAGGGGATGGGACAGATGGACAGCTCAGAAGCCTGAATTCTCATGCAATTCTAATTAGTAAAATTCCTTCAAATCATCCACAGTGACGGCTTCACTCCATGTTTTTATGGAAAGTGAGGGAAAAAAAGGTTCAGATTTGTAATATTTAAACATTAGAAATCTACCATTCAGTTAGTATTACAGAGCAGCAATTACAAGACAAGCTGAAGTGAAATTACATGAAGCAAGGCAGGGGCCCATTTTGCCATACGTTCTGTGAACACAGCATTGCTACCTTAGGTGAAGGTGCCAATTAGGACAGTAAAAACAGTAATTCAGTGTTTAAACCAGCATTTCTTTCAAGACAGAAACAGTTCTATTTGTACTGCATTACTGTTCCTATGCCCCCACTGAGACACAAGCTGAATGTTCTTTTGAGAATATAAAAACCTGGCCCTCCTCTCATCTGCAGATAAAAAAAATAAGGTGAAGAGATTTAGCAACTTACCCTAAATCCATGTGAGCATTCCACAGCAGAAGTAATGGAAACATACCTCCTGAGTTCTAGCCCGGGATTTTAACTATAAAATTAACCTTCTTTAATACAGTAAGTTATTATCATGATAGTTTTGACAACCGGCAAAGGAGGTGAAAAAGATTAGCAATTTTTCAGAACAGCTTACTGCCAAAGATTATAAAAATTTATGTCCTTATGCCTCAATTAAACAAGAGAGCCATATAAAAAAAGCGTAAGTGTCTGTAATACATGCCACCTCTTTTTATCTGTGTTTGGATTACTTAGGGTTAAGAGGCAGCTGCGAGATACTAATTGATATGTTGCTATGATACAAAATCAGTTATAAGTCATCATTTTGCTATCTAAAAAGCAAAAAGAAGAAAAAAAAAAAATCTCTTGCTATCTTCTGTGAAAAATCCTAGCCTTCCTTTCACAGCCCTGAAAGGTGAAACCAAGGGCTCTGACCAACATAAGACAGAACTGGAGGAAAGGAAAGCATTTCTTCCCTAGTGACTTCCCCAGGCGGCATTGTGGCACCTTCGGTCCCTCACCTCCACTCCCAGTCTCCCACATTTTCAAGAGCTAGGCAAGCCAGCACCTACGGAACAGACCTGTGAAAATACTAATTAAGCTCCATCAAAACCCACTGCTAACCAAATTAACACACATCACTTCCAAAAAAACAACTTTTAA